ACCTAAACTCCATGAAGATGTGCACAAGAAGACTCTAGAAGAAGTGCTCAATACGGCAGGGGTCTTCCTCATGGACAACAGTTAAAATGGTGACTTGCCTTACTGGTTTTTAAATGTAATTCTGTTTTTCATCTGAGTATAGGTATGACATACATAATTAGGAAATACACACAGAACACAGCCTGGTGTTTGGGGATCTAAAACTGAGATCCAAAGACTGATTCTACAACTGAATGAAAGTAGGAAAGCCCATTGGCTAAGGCCATGCAGAAACTCGTTGGACTCCAGGTTTAGAAATATTTAGTACAATTTAATTATTTTGAATGCCCTCCAAGCATTGATCTTCTCTTGAGTTTGCTAGAATTCTGAATAAGATTTTATTTCTTATAAGTTAATTTCTCACAGAAATCTCATCTTTAAGTATAAAACGTGTTGGATGATTTTTTTATTATTTAACTTTGCTGTTTAAAGTTTGCCACATGTGCCAATCTAATCAATCTAGTGGGTAACTCTCCCGTGCACATTGGGAAGTTGGTGAGGCAGCAGAGACCTGGCTACACTCACGCTACCATGTTCTTGCATGTGCCATTTGTCAATTGTGTGTAAGAAAGATAATAAATAAATGGTGATTTATATATGCTTTTAAATGCATGTCATAAGTACATTTGAATACACACACAGGAAGGAACAGCCTAATTTCCCTCCCAAGGAGTGGCTTGTGGCTTTGAACCACTGACCTTATGGTTAGGATCCCAATGCCTAACCCAAAATGACACCAGGGCCGTGTGTGTGTGTGTGTGTGTGTGTGTGAAGAACGTGTACCTGTGTGTGTGTCTTGGCACATATGTCTATATTGGCACTATTTCAAAATTATACATACACATATATGAATGTGCGTGTATAAATATATATGTGTGTGTGTGTGTGTGTGTGTGTGTATGTGTGTGTGTGAAGAACGTGTACCTGTGTGTGTGTCTTGGCACATATGTCTACATTGGCACTTATTTCAAAATTATATACACACATATATGAATGTGTGTGTATAATTATATATGTTTGTGTGTGTGTATATCTACACTTTAGAAATAAGTGCCAACATAGACATATGGAAATCCCTTATAAAAACTCCCTTTCAAGTTAGCCTGTGCCTTAGGGTTCCATATGGAACTATAGTCTATAATTAATTTTTTTCCTTAATATAATTGCTCTCTGAGTTATTGTCCTCAGGGTACTTAGTCTGGAACCTAAACACATTATTCCATACTTCTAATGTTTCTGATGGATTTGACTTTTCTCTAGTAAAACTTCTACATTGGGACTTTAATAGATTAGCACCAGGTTCACTTCTGTCGTGAGGAGTCAAAGTATGTCCTATAGTCTTTTGTCATTTTTTTCATAGTATCAGCAAATTCCTTCAGAAGAATATTTACTTAAAAACAGACGAGACCCTGCAAGCATACATCTCAGCGTATGTCTGTTGTGACCTGAGTGATTGGCAGTTGTTATTCTATGAGTTTTATTGAGTTTTAACAGTTGGATTTCTTCTAGGTAGAAAACTTGAGTTTTTCCAGGAAACAACCAGCCAAGTGTTATGGGAAAGTACATATAAAATACGTATAATGCATATACTACAGTGCCTTCTTCTTAGACAGTTCCTTTTTTTCCTTCTATATATATCTTCTATTACATATAACAGTCTATAAAATTTGGAATTAGGAAATAAGAGGTATATAATACAAGGAGGCTTCAAAAGGTTCATGGGAAAAATGGAATTTAAATGTCTTGGAACTTTTCCATGAAATTTGTGAAACCCACTAGTATTCTCAATGGAGCTGCCAATACAGCCTACCTCAATGTTGTGATGCTCAAAGTGGGGGTGGTACTATCTACCCCACAATGGTAGGTAAATAGGGAAGAAAGTTAATTTATAAAAGATAATGAAAAGGTCATTTGTAGTGATGATGTAGTGTTATGTAAGAATGCCTTATTCCAGTGGCTTGACAATGGGCTTTGGGTCTCTACTCCGTGACCAGAGGATGTACACTGGTACAGATAGGAACTGGAAACACAGGAAATCCAGGGCGGATGATCCCTTCAGGATCAGTGGTGTGAGTGGCGATACTAGGAGTGTAGCGGGAGAGTGGGTTGGAAAGGGGGAACCTATTACAAGGATCTACATGTGACCTCTTCCCTGGGGAACGGACAACAGGAAAGTGGGTGAATGGAGACGTCGGACAGGGCAAGATATGGCAAAATAATAATTTATAAATTATCAAGGGCTCAGGAGGGAGGGGGGAGCACAGATGGAGGGAAAAAAAGGACCTGATGCCAGGGGCTTAATTGGAGAGCAAATGTTTTGCGAATGATGAGGGCAATTAATGTACAAATATGCTTTACACAATTGATGTATGTATGGGTTGTGTTAAGAGTTGTATGAGCCCCTAATAAAACTATTAAAAATAAACAAATAAACTAAACTAAAAAAAAAAATGCCTTATTCGTTATTCTGTATCTCACCACTTCACCCTCTCTCTTTAAAATTCTACACAGATGGTTCACAAGCACCAGCGAGACCCCCTAAACCACGACCCCGTAGGACTGCACCGGAAATTCACCACAGAAAACCCCATGGGTCGGAGGCAGCAATGGAAAATGTAGATGCAAAAATTGCAAAACTCATGGGAGAGGGTTATGCCTTTGAAGAAGTAAAGAGAGCCTTAGAGATCGCCCAGAATAACGTCGAAGTGGCCCGCAGCATCCTCCGAGAATTTGCCTTCCCTCCTCCCGTCTCTCCGCGTCTCAATCTATAGCAGCCGAGATGGTCATGCGTCAGAGCGGCAAGCAGTGGGTGACCAGTCCCGCAGTGTGGGATGGAGAGCAGTGGGCGTTGTGATTCCCACTCACCTGGCATCTTGAGAAGAGAGTGTGGTTCCTCGGACGAAGACGGCTGCTTGCTCAGGATGTCTATACTTGCAGCTTCCTTATTTTTGCTAGCCATATTTTAAATCAGGGTTGAACTGATGAAAATAATTTAAAGACGTTTACTCCCCTTGAACTTTGAATCTGTGAAATGCTTTTCCTTGTTTACATGTTGGTGAAGTTGCAGTTTGCTTCTGTTTTTGTTTGGCTTTTGAATACCTGTACTGTGCTCCTGACAGGCCCTGTGAGTGGTCAGGTCTGCTGTACAATTACCCCCAGGTCCCTTGCTGTCCATCGCAACAGCTAAATCAGGCATTCCTTTGGATCTCACCTTTCCACCCCACACCCCAGAGGTCCAATTCCATTTCTGCTATTTACGGATGCTTCAGACGTTCTGATTTTCAATGATCAAACTAATGCAAAAACAAAAAATATATGTGGCCTTCACTACTGAGTCTTTTCTTTAGAAACCATTGCTGTTAAGAGATGAAGAAAATCTGAATGTACAAAGCATTATTTTTGTTCAACAAGCTACCTTTCAGAGGGCTTTCCACAGTAATATAGAGAGCACATCCCTTGATTTTGGTATAAGTTTTGTTACTTTTAATTCTCCATATTCTCATCTCTACCATCCTAAGGGATCACAACTCTGTAAAAATCTAATGGATTAGAAAGCAACTACTGTATATATGGAGAGATAACATTTGCATATGCCAGTGCTATACGGAAGTTATGTAATGAGTTCACCTGCTATCTACACCTGCATAACTTTGAGGCATGCTGAATAAGAGGGCTGTCTCCTTAATGTATATTAATAATTAAAAGATTTAATTATGGTCAGACATTTCCCAAAGTGGAACAGAGTCCATTTTCTATTGGAGTGACTGTATTCTGGTTCCTGACAGCTGCAGGAGCCAGGCCACATTGCAGTGGGCACGTTAACCCTTTGATGCGCTGTGAAGTGCTAATGCTGCTGTGGCAATGCTTTTATGCAGAGGTCTTTGAGATTTTCTCTCCGCAGTCAAATTATACTTCATGTCTAATTTCTATATTCTCTCCTTCGTTGTTCTCATTCAGTCTTGTGGGGAAAATGAATATGGTTCTGCTGTTTCTCGCAAAATGGTGGTTGGTTCTTCCGAAACCATGTTATCACTTTGCATCAATACTCACATCTTCGTTGAGTCTCTATGACGTGCTCAGCTCCGGTAGGTGTGTTCCAAAGCACAAACCCTCACAAGCAGACTCCATTGGCCTGCTGTGCTTTTCTGTACGTGCCAGTTTGGTGGCCAGCGGCCAAAGGAGAAAGCCTGGGGGGGTTCAGGTAGCGCTCCTAGACTCTCAGGCAACTTGCTGTTTTCTTCTTTCCTGAGGAGAAGTTAGTGGGAAAAGGAGACCGAATCATTTACCTTTAAAACGCGTGAACCCATAGATTTTCTAAATATGGACGCATCTGTGCATGTTTCTGCCACTTTACACAGAGTCTGATATAAAAAGATACAGCCTCGCCCCTCGGCAGGACTTGAAAGGACATGACCAGAGAAATGGATGCCCTGCAAACCCCGTGTAGACACGCCACTCTGACCTGGGAGGACCGGCCACGGTTCCTTCACAGAGTGGCATGTGCCCTTTGCAAAACGTCGCTTTCGTGGTGTGATGCTTGAGGAGTCACGGGCCTTCGTATAGTTTGTGCTCTTATCTGAATGCCTTCAGGTGATTCTGAGCGTATGCTGTCCCTAGGGGGGATTTTGGTTTTTTTGCCCTAGATATTTTTCCTATGAGTAGGTGTATAAATGAAGATTTTTAGACTTAAAAAATTCCTTTGACTGATTTTTTGTTTTTATATGAACCCCATGTTCCGTATCCTGATATATATATATATTTAACTTGTTTTCTCAGTCTATGTAATCCCATTGGAATAGCCCTGTGGACTTTAGTCTTTGAATGTCTTGCTGGTCCACAGGCATACTCTAAAAGCCAAAAGTCGCCCACTTCATTGTGCTGGCATGATGATGCTACAATTGACAAGGAGAGGCTGCTAATTAGGAATATTGAAAAAGCAGCAGTAAAATCTCATCCAAAAAATTCAGATAATATGTGGAAATTTTTGTTAAAAACTAAAAAAGATTGGTGAAGATATAGTGAATGTGAACCTGAAGTTTTCTGTTTTGTTTTTTAATTCATTTAAAACAATTTTTCTACTAACTTCCATCAAACTCTCTGAATCCTGTACTTAAGTAGCAACCTCTAATTTTGTCACTAGAAATGAGTGCATCAAAACATGCAGGTCATGGAAAGAGGAAAGCTTTCTAGCAAGCACACTCACGCATAATCCATCAGCTGCAGTGGCACTCCGCCCCACACAACGCACGGCCCGGACCTGACGGGACAGCCCCGCCACATCCAGAGTAACGTGTTGAGGAATGACCTAGCCCTTGTGTCATGTGCCCCAAGACGTCAAACATTCCTCTTATCTCTCAACACTCACTAATATGATTATTTTGTGAATCAGCCCTCCATATAATTAAATCATGGCTAACACAAAACAGCCTTCTCCCCTGTCCCCGACCCCAACCAAAACATATTTGGAGACAGAAGGATTTATTCTAAATGCTATTCGTGTAAGTTGATCTTCAGAACCTGTTTCTGTTTTTCTTTCATGTCTGATATATTCCGACCAAAAATCAAACTCAATCAGGCAGTATTAGTGTTGAACTTGAGCTTCCTTCTATGTAAGACGACCCCTTAGCTCTTCCTTTTCCTGTCTTTTTACCCACAGTGCAAATAGTCATATTAATAGAGCCCTAATTGCAACTTCAAAAGGTCCATGTGTTCATTCAGTATTTCACATACCAACAACACTTGCAAAGATTTCTTTATAATGTGAATTTTTTGTTCACTTCCAGAAGCATTTCCTACAGTTTCAACATTATTTCTCTCCCAGATTTTCAACTTGAAGCTTTAATTTGCACTGACTCATCTAACCTGATTAAAATTTTAATTTCTCAAACTGACAGATTTGGAAGCAAAGTACAGTATAGTATGTTTTAACAGTACAGGTACTGCCTGTTGATCTTGAATTTTAGTGCTGAGAAAAGTTTCCATAAAAAATCGATTGAGTGAAGGGTTACTATTTTTCCCAGTTACTATTTTATTGTTTTAAAAAATGCCTTTAAAAAAGTGTTTAATGTGGCAGATAGTTATGTGTTCAATTAATTTATATTTTATTCATTCTTTTTCAATTCTGGTTATTATGTAACATCAAGTACTTTATTCTTTTAAGGTATTTTATAAAATTAATGTTAACAAAATGCTACGTTGGTGCTTTATTTTTTCACATGAGCGCAAACATTTCAGAGCATTTCCATGTTCGTTAATCATTCTTCACATTCAACAGATTACCTATAATTAAGAACCTGTTGGAAAAAGTGGTGCCAAGTTCTCATCATTGAGTTTTGTTATTAAATATCAAAACCATATCATTTTAAAAGAAAGTTAATAAGCTACTCCCAAGTCACAAGGAAAAGTCTGTGTTAAGGTCCCTGATAAGAAAGACTATGTCTATCCGAAGGAAGGTCCCAGCATGAGCTGTCACAAAGGTGACAGTTCCTGCTCAGTAAGCACATGTGTTCTTTACATTCTTGGGTTTTCCTAATAATTTATAAGGCTCGATGGCATTTGTCAAGCTGAAAGCAGGGCTGGGGGGGGGGGCTGTTCAAGATCGTGTGGTTCAGCTTTCATTCCTGTTTATGTTTTTAAAGAAAATTGTTCCAGCGAAGAACAGCGCACGTCACATTTAGATGAAGGCTTGAGTTCACTAGGACCTGAAGAAGAGAGGACACTGTCCTGCTGCAAACGTGGCACCATACTAGCCACGCTACAATTATGGGGACTCTCGGCTTCAGAGTCACTAGCGGTCAGAGAAGAGAGCCCTGGTTTTGCAGCGGTTATGAGTTGGGCTGCGAGTCCCATGGTCAGCAGTTCAAAACCACCAGGGAGACGGACTGTGCTTGCTTCTGCAGTAAACCCACAGGGCGTCGCTATGAGTCAGCAATGACTCGGTGCAGTTGCTTACGGTTAGAGGTCAGAGAGGAGCCCTGGTAGCGTCCTGGTTACTCCTTGGGCTGTTAACTGCAAGATCAGCAAACCATGGCCGCTCGGTGGGAGAGAGCATTCGGTTCCTGTAGAGATTTAGTCTGGGAAGCTCACAGGGGCAGTTCTGCCCTGGCCTGTAGGGTCACTGTGAGTTGGCGTTGACTCGGTGGCAGGAAATTGAGTTGAGTGGTCAGTGATGCTCTACCATGACGTTGGTCAACTCTGGGCCCAAAGTTTACCAGGGAGTGCCAGCAGGAATGGCCCCTACAAGTCCCACCCAGCCAGCAGGTGGAAATTCGTTCTGCTGCTGCTGCTATCTCTGTGTCTCCTTCCTCCCTCGCATGGTTTTCTTTTTCCGGGTTCTCAGGGCAAATTTGGAAATGACTTGTAATTATTATTTTATCCCTTCTGCCACTACCCTCAAGTCTAAGTTATACCTCCTATATTGTAAATCGTTCTTAGTTGGGGCCCCTCAGTGAAGTGGAATGATTCTATAACATGGACTTCTAACAATGGACTTACAGTAACTATGAAGATGATTCAGGGAAAAGAAAGTTTTCTTCTATCGTCCATCGTGTCTCCATGAGCCCGGAGGTCCCACCCCAGGGCAGCCAGCAACAACGACTGCGCTCCTCGCCTCACTGAAAGAATGGACTTGCTGAAATCCAAACTCAATAAACTCCTCTATTTAAAACCCTTTGGCTTTCTAGAACAGACGCCCCATATCTGTGTACCTTTTCCCACTTCTCTACTACCACAGCCTTTTCCCCTTTTGCTGTCCTTGCACTTACCGAAATGTGCTTCACATCTCTCGGCACTTGATCCTCATAAAGACCCATTTCCTTTTGCACAACCTGGATAATTTTATTTGCTCTTTAAAATCTAACTCAAGAACTGCTGCACTGAAAGAAAACTTCCCTCCACATTCAGCTGAGCGTGCTGTACTGCATGCTCCACACAGCATCCATGTTATAAGCATATGTAGTGTTGCAATTACCGTTTTTTCACTTGTCGCCCCACCTAGACTGAACTTTCAGAGAAGTCTGGCTTTTAGTTTCTGTGTCCCAATACAGAGCCCAATATAGGATTTACAATAGTAATCCAAATAAATGAAAAATTGCACCCTTGAATACCAATTAGCAAAAACAGTGTCTAGTTCATATCCTAGGTCTACCACTAGTTCTGGCATGGATTCTGTTTCCTCTGGTCCTATGAGCTCCAGTTATGGCAATCATAGACTATAAGACCACTCACCAATGTGATTACAGTGCCAAATTTATAAAACAAAAATTCCCAAAATTTGAGGACATTTAAATTTTATTTTGGTAAAGCTCAATTTTTTTTTTTAGTAACTTGGCAAGATGAGGGAATGCCTTTTCTCTCTTAAAGGGGCTAAGCTATTCACAACATTAACAGCTGCAAACTCCAGTGAAAATAGTCTATTTGTTAGGAATGCAGACCCTACAGTCAGACGGTCTTTTGGTTCCTTTCTGTCGGTTCTGATCCAGAGCTACACCCTGTACAACCAAGGAGGACACTGCTTGGTCCTGCCCCATTCAGCGTTTTTGCTCTGTTGTATCTTCTATTGTAAACACCATGTCCACACCCATTCCATTGAATGTTCCCTTCCCACGCCCCCACTGGCCCAGGGCTAAATAATGATGTCCTTCTCCAGAGACTGTCTCCTGATCACATGTCCAAAGCACGTAAGACAAAAGTCTCACGGCCATCACTACTGACAGCCATCCCCGAGGGCGTCTTCCTTGATAGATGAGTCTGGTCAGTTCTTCAGACTTCCCTGCTCATTGTCCACCTTTCCCATTCCTAGGAGGCGGTGGAAAATGCCGTGGCTTGAGTCAGGAAACTAGTCTTTAAAGTGACATCTTTGGTTTTTCACACTCTAACAAGATCTTTTACAAAATATTTGCCGGCTGAAATCTATTGTTTGACTTCTTGTCTGCTGTGTCCTCTTGACTGTGGTTCTGAATAAAAGGCAATCCTTGACAACTTCAACTGTTTTCCATTTATCATGCTATTACCTACAGGTCCAGTAGGGAGAATATTTGCTGCCTTTATGTTCAGGTCTAATACAAAAATGAGTCTTTGATCTTCTGCACTGAGGACTTCAAGCCCTCCTGGCTTCCAGCAAGCAGGGTCGTGTCATCAGAATGTGGTATAAGTTGCTGATGAGTCTCTCTCCAATCCTGATGCCAGTTTCTTCCTTCATACTGTCCAGCTTCTTGCATTATTTACTCAGCATACAGAGCGAATACATATGTTGAAAGGATGCAGTCCTCACACAAACCTTGCCTGGTTTTCAACCCTATAGTTTTCATTCTGTTCCAATGACTGCTCGTGGCCAATATACACTCGTAAAATATACAGTCTGGACTTCCCATTATTCACAATATGATTCACGACATTATAATCCACATAGTTGAATGCCTTTCCATAACCAGTCAAATATAGTAAACATCTTTCTGGAAATCTCTCCTCCAACATCCACCTATCATTAGCAATGAGATCCCACATTCTATGTCCTTTTTTGAATTTGGATTGCCTTTCTGGAAGTTCCCTGTCAATATAATATTGCAACCATTTATAAATTATCTTTAGCTAAAATTTACTTGTGTTTGATAGTAATCGTATGTTTTCATCATTTCTACTTTCTGCTGGATTCCCATTCTCTGCAATGGGCATATATAAATAGTCCTTCCAGTCAGCTGGCCAAGTAGCTGTCTTCTAAATTGTCTGGTATAGATGAGTGAGTGCTCCCAGGACTACATCTGTGCGTTGAAACGTCTCAGTTGGGTTTCTAGCAATACCTTCAGTGCAGCTGGGGCTTCTGACTTCAATACCATTGCTTCTTGACTATATGCAACCTCCTGAAATGGTTGACTAGCCATCAATATTTTTGTACAGGGATTCTATATTCCTTCCATTGTCTTCTGATGCTACCTGTATCACTGCTATAGAATCAATTCCCAACTCGTCGTGAAAGCCTCATCTTCTTCTAGAGAAGCAGCTGGTGGGTTTGAACAAGAGAACTTGTGGTTTGCAGTCCAACACTTACCTAACAGCAGGACCACCAGTGCTCTTAAGATCAAAAATTGAGATAATTTTTGTTTGTTTTAAGCTCAGGAAATTCTGAGGAGCATGATCATCCCTTTCTGTTTTCTAGCTCTGGATCTCTGTGCATTTTGTCATGTTTTACTTGGTCTTCTCAGGTGCTGTTTGAACCCTTTGAAATGTCTTCACTGGGTCCTTGCCCTTGTGCTTTAGCTACCCCACGCCACGTGTCAGAGTCTCTGCGAACAGCCCTTTCCATCTTTCTTTTTGCTTGATATTGTGCTCTCTTCATGGATGACATCCTGGATATCCCCCTACAGCTCCTCTGGCACGTGGTCCCTTGTGTTCAGTGTATCAAACGTATTCTTGAGAGGATCTCTAGATTCAGGGGGGATATGCTCACGATTGTATTTGGCTCGGATGCACCTGTTTTAATTCCCTTCGCGTCACCTCAGTTTGCATCTGAGCAAGTGATTGTTGCAGTCTGCCTCTTTTACTCTTCTGGCTCTGGATACTGAGCTTCTCTGCCATCTCTTTCACACATGTGATTGGTTTCATTCCTGTATAGTGACTGTTTCTGTACTTTAAATAAGATAATTTAGTTTTAGTGGTTAGTGAGTAAATTTGAATGATTGTCTTTGTGTTAGGCAGGGTTCTCGAGAGAAACAAAACCAGGATTTTTATTTATGATTATGATAACATATATGTGAGGATAGATTTATACTGCACGAAGGAATATAACAGCTAATTAGCCCACACAGCAGTATAGAGGGCTCAGTTCAACTCACTTCTGTGGAAGTCCTTCAGCTCATGAGGGTTGCTGGGTCCAAGGTCAAGGAGGCAGGCAGCTAAGTCTTCCTTGGGTAATGCAGGCAGAGTCCACCCACAAGGAGCAAACAGCAAGGCGGGTCACCAATAGTCAGAGTTCAAGAGCTTAGCGAAGCAGGCCTGGAAGGGATATCAAACTCAAGCAACGCAAGACAACAGGATTCATCAGCCTCAAGCTCAAGTGATGTACACACCAGCTGTGTGGCCAAGCAGGTCTTGAGGGAACCTCAAGCTCTAGCGACATGATCCATGGGTTGGGGGTCCCACCGGTAGCGTAGCTCACAAGTTGAGGCAGGTCTGATCACCAGAGAGCAAGAGG